TTTTACATTGTTCCTACTCTGCTTAAATGCAAGCTAGCTGTGGAGTCACTCACATTTTATACTGGGGTGAGCAAGGTCTCCCAATGATGTAGGAGAAAATAGGCCTAACGCTTTTCCTACTCCACCCCCTTCTGATTCTTCAGGCCCTACAAGGCAGTTCGGGAGTGCCAGGCTTCACACTGTTTATTTCTGCACAGACCTAATTCTGAGTTGGCTTTGGGAGCTGTCACTTAGTTCAGGCTGCATTTGATAGGACTCGAACAGTTCCCAGTTTTGGAAAACTTCCATTCCAACTACTTGGCCCTGTACCTGTCTCAGGTTTCTATATCAAGGAGTTTAGCTAGTTCCACTTCAAAGTCTCTATTTATTTATATCTTTTTAATACTGAGCCATAAATAGTGCTGAGCACTGTCACCTCCCAAATTGTGTTCTTGGGCACCTGTCAAACAAATGTGTCACATGAAGGAGAAGATAACAGTTCATATTCACTTAACTCCTTGAGTGCGCAGGGCAAATGTCTTGAATTTAGAGCGGGAAAAGATAGGTGACAGCAAACCTGCAGCAAAAGGAAGATGTAAAAGGAAGGATGGTGACTTGTGTGATCGTGTTTGATGCCCTGAACTGATGCAGGCAGATCTTTCTTATGTAAGCAAGCTTAAACCCAGCATTTACTCTCTTACTCTTGCTCTGTTTCCCATTTGTAGAATGGGAACAGCTCACATCACTTTACCTTATTGGGGGCAGGGGAAGCAAGGATAAACTCAACGAGGGATGCAACAGTGTGTTAGGGGGCGTATGAATAGCGTGGTAGGAGAAGTTCTGGCAAAGATACCACATTTGTCCAGGCTGCTTGCTTATAAAGCAACTGAGTTCAAGAAAACTAAATAGCCCCTGGTCCTCCTGATGGCACAGACAACATGATCTAGCTAGACCCTAGATTCCCCAGTGCTGAGAGCTGGAATGACAGCAGTGTGCTTTTTTCCCCCCCCCCAGATTAGCAAGACCTGCTGGGACAGAACAGGAGACTGCAAGCGAGAGGAGGAATGACAAAGCAGTAAGTATAATTATTCGTTTGCTTCTTGAAGATGCTCAGAAGAAAATCTAATTTAGCTTCTTCTTTAGAAGAAGCTCCTGACTTATGCTTGGGGTTTGCAGGACTGAAACTAGGGCTGAATGCTTTTAAAAAAAAATAGGGGGGGGACCCAAACAAAACTGAGTGTGCAATGTAACAGCAGCACCTCACCCAGAGCTGCAGTGCTGAACATGGCATCACATTGAAACCAGCTGGTTTTAAATGGATTCTGGTACAGTATGAGCTCACTCTCACTCAAAGGCTCTCCTTTGCCGTGCCAAAACTGCAGCTGTGCTGGGGTGTGGGGTGCCTGCTTTGTCCCTGCCATGAGGGAGACTCCAGGGCCTTCAGCCTCACTGAAAAACAAGGGGCACACAGCAGAGTACTTTAAAATGTCTGGTACTTCTCCATATAGACTTACTGCCCTCCCGTGGCTGCCAAGGAGCGTCTCTAATGCATAAACAAGGAGACTGGGGACTGAGGGAAACAATAAAGAAAAATAACTATATATTCAATTTAAACCAAAACGCAATTTGAGTTACAAGGAAGAGGAAGGCAAACACACTGTGTGATTAACTGGAAGTACCTAGGAAGACAAGAAGAAAGCAGGGAAATTTACTGATTTGGGAGTAGCAGGGAGACCTCCAAATACTTCATTTTGCAAGGACAGTGGGCCTTGAGCTATTTTTCACCAGAGTCCCGTCAGCGAGTGCCATTTACTCCAGAAGAGATGATCCACCTAACTTCATCCGATTGCCCCATGGAGGAGACTTCACTAGCAACTGGTGCAAAGAAGGTATGGGAGAGCAGACCACTGCCCCTTTTCCTGACTGTGGTAGACATGTGCTGTGACCTTGCTGTATTTACTAACACTCATTGGCCCAGCTTCAGCAGTGTTTATAAAGCTTTTGCAGAGACACCTCATATTGCAAATGTGTCCTTTTCTCTCTGTGAACCAGAAGGAGACAACATTTCTAGCACAGATCGACTCCTTTGTGAGGGACCTCCCTTAAGAGCCTGAAGTTACGTTTTATGAATGAGACCTTGAGTATCCAATGGGAGCTGCTGTGGAAGCACTGCATGGTTCTACAAGGAGTGTCCTGTTTCTTGTACTTTCTTTATGACTGTGCTGCTTCTTGTGTACTCTCTGCAGGCAGAATGCATCTCCAGTCTTTGATGCACAGCAGACACTTTAAACAAAACCACCCTGAAGCAACTGAAACCAAAAGCAACAATGAAGCGGCAAGAGGAAACACAGCCATAAGCACAAGCAGCAACTGCATGGTCAGAAGGTAACAATGCCAAACTGGTTGAATTGCATATGCTTCTAACAAAGGCACTAAATGCTTCAAGGAGACCGCATACCTCCCACCAATGAAAAAGCTTGTGTTCGTATTAGGCAGGCTTACCACTACATTTTTGTTCGTGGACTTAGCTTCAGTCTTACATGTTAGAGATTGGTGTATGCCCAAGCCACATTTAAGACTAGATGCAATGAGACAATCATTTTAGACCAGAGAGGAGGAGTGGATGTGACAGGGATCATGTAGGAAAATGCCAACACATGGCATCTCCTATAGGACTTCAGGCTGTTGAGTGACACCTGCATCAAGACGGGTATCACCCCAGCCTACCTGACAGCTGTGCTTCTTCGGGGGTGCGCATCAGTGGGAGTATTAGGATTTCTTCAGGGTGAAAGACTGCAGTTCAGCAGAGCATGCGGCAAGTTGAAAACAGCGAATGAACATGGTAGGCAGACAAATGCTTTGCTCATTCAAGTTGCCAGGTCACTGAGTCAATATCTCATGTAGAAGCCAACTAGGGAGTAGAGTAAATCCTGCCCTCTCCATTTTCACATCTTAGGCCATGCTGCACAATGTTAACATCACAAACAAAACTTCACTTTAAGCACAGGTGAAAATGGCAAATGAGATGAGAAATCACTCAATATCGTTTTAAAACTTGTGTGTATGTGTGTATATACACACATAAACACACACAGTGAATATATATATTTGTAGTAAATACATATGAACTTTTACACAATTAAAACCACTCCAGTATATACATGATATACTCCTATCACTCACCAGGACAATACATTTTGTTGCACTGAAAAAATCTGTTGGTCAGTTACCTCTTAAATTACAATTCTTATAAGTTACACAGAATTGCTCAGTGGAAAGCCAATCTTGGGCAAGCACAAATCTGCAGAAAACCACCAGCTCCAATAGTGATCCTTCAATATTTGAAGGTACCCCCCCGGTTTCCTTCAAATATCAACTCTGCTTTCTTAGAAATAAATTGTTTCTAACAATATGCTACAACCCTGTTAAGCCAACCAGGATTTTTCTTTTACTACATATAAGTATTTCACATCCTGTCTACACTATGCAATGCAAAAAGTAAAATCATGTTTGCAAGTGATTGTATTCTGATTTGGCCCCATATCTCTTTTAGTTTAAAAAAAAAACCACAACAACAACAAAAACCCAAACAAACAAAAAACAAAAAGAAAAAACAACTCTCACATAAACCTTAAAAATCAGCAGACAGAGCTCTAGTGATTTACGTTTCCAAAGGAAATACCTTTTAGTAATAATTAACTCTGCAGCTGTTAAGTCCAAACATTGCAAATGTAAGAAATGAGAACAGAAAACTAAACAAAGAGCAAGAATTACTTACTTGTCCAAACTGAGACACACAAAACTCGTAAAAACTCTTACACACTTTTTAAAAATTTGTTTGAATCACCTGTGTGATGTCCTTGTTAAATATCAAAGTAGATTAGCTTGAACAAGTCTATTGGAAAAAGCACTACCTTAAAAATGCATAGTTCAAAGCCTTATCTAAAAAGTATTTTCAGAGATTAAATTCTGCATCTCTCAATGACATTGCATGATTCACAAAACCTTGCATAATGTTACATTTTGAAACACTGACATTGATCAGCTGTCAAAGAAAACAGAGCTTGTTTGCGTAACAGACGCTCAAGTAAAAAGAAAAGAAAAAAAATCACAGAACTTGGCTATTTCTAAAAAACTGACTCTAGAGTAGAAATAAAATGATTTTAAAAGGTGGAGAAAACAGTAAGGTTCAGTCAGACCTGTATTTTTTACTGGCAACAAGCACTGTGATTTTTTTTTTTTTTTTTTTTTCCAATGAACTCACTTGAGGCTGTGTAAATATTCCTAGCATTAATGATGATTAAGTAGAGTAATGTAACAGCAGATTAAAGTTTGCACCCCCATATTTTGATACAAACTATGACAGGGTATTTCCGAAAGAGTCCCTTTGACATTAAATAGCTATTTTAAAATTTGTAATTAAAACAAATAATCTTTAAACAGTACCAAAAACTAGGTAAATTAAGTCTCAACCAGTGTAAGAGGACCTCTTCATAAAGGGAAGATAAATCCTCCTTTGGAGTGGTTACAACAATGCATAGAAATGAGACCAGAAATACACACAAGAAGTTACAGGTCAACTGATTTACTGGAGTTGTGCAGTAATTTCCACCTTATGGTAATTTGAGGATTGTCGTATGGACCCAGAAAAAGACTTCCAAAAAGATAAAATGCTGGGAGGAGACAGGAAAAAGTATCTGTCTTCCACGCTGAGAATCTGATGCGCTGGAAAGGGCAGCCCTGCCTTCAGTTGTTAGCTGCAGTGGTGGATGTGCTCAGAACCAGAAGCCTGATGCTTAAACGTCCCACCAGTAGACATCCTGCCTAGATCTGTCATGGCTCACTATGTCTCACTGAGGTCAGAATAAATAGGCATTCGGGGCAATTTCCACAGAAGTTGTGTGCACAGAGGCCAGCTTATGAAGTTCAGCCTCACTTCTCCAACATCTACGAGCAGGTGTAACGCGCTGCTCTCTTCTGTGCATGCTGACTACTATGTTTTTCTGATTACAAGTACAACTTACTCGCACTGCATGTTTGCACAACACTTCAAAGTGTGAAGCATTAGCAATTCTAGAGTACAGTTAAACCTGACTGCAATTCCAGGGCTAAAACACCTTAGCTTCTGGAAGCACAGATCAGACCCTTCACCTCTCCAGTGTCTCATGCTACATACAGGTTTCTGTGCTCACAACAGCCAGTGTGCACATCAGATAACATAAAAGTAATGCTCTGACATCAGCAGTGAGCCAGACTTTTCACTGGAGTCCAAGAGTCCTGTGAAAAATCTCAGTTCAACATGTAACCATTAGATTTTTAGTACACATCATGTTACAGAGTTAGTGTTTTCCTTACAAATATATGGCACTAAGTGTAAAACTTTATGACTTATTCCAAACAGTGTACCATACTTCACAGCAAAGCTTTAAAAAGAATCCTGTAACTCCCGCTTCTTCTAAATATACAGCTGGTGGGAGGCCAGGGTGTCCATGAACGGTCGCACAAGGTTGTCTGTCGAGAAGTAAAAGACCAAGCCAAAGGTGATGGAGATGGGAAGAGCAGGCAGTGCTTTCTTAAAAACAGCCAGTAATAAAAGAGTTAAGCATAAACCCTGCCAGAGAGAAGAGAATAAAAAACACAAGGAGATATAGTAAGAAGCCCAGAAACATATCTGTCATCAACAAACTAATATACCAATAATAAGCTATATACACTGTACAGCAATTGAAGCCTGCTGGAGCTACCAGTGGCATGAGGTACATTTGCCCACACCTTCACCTTTCACACAAGCTGGCCAGGTATTTTCTTCAGCAATCTTGAGCGCAGCTCTCTGCTGAGAAAGTGGTATAAACAGCTAGTGCTGACATACAGCTGACCCTGAGAGGTTAATTTATTTACAGATTATTTTACATTTTGTTCTACGCCATTATGTATGAAGTACTGATCCAGCAGATAAAAGCACTTAAATCCTGGTGAACTGCACAGATAAGGAGTTTCACTGGAGGACTAATACATAGCAGCAGGTACTTCTAACACCTTCCCAGTTTTCAAGGTCTCTTGGGGTAAAAAAAACAAAACAAAATATCCACTGCTGTTCTTTTGACTGGATTGCTTACCACAGTAGGTGAATTCTAGTTTTATCTGGATAGCAGGCCAAGATCTGGTTTTCTGAGCATGTGTGAAAGCTTTTGTACATTTTGGGTAGACAGTATGGCTAAGTGCATTTAGGTATGGATTCCTTCTCTCATCTGAGCCCTTTTTTCTTCCTCCACGATGACAAAACTTCAGAGACACTAGGCTCCAAAAATTCTAGCAGCACCATAAAAGAAACAGACTGGGGCATTTGGCCTCACGGACAGACAAGACGGAGCATTCCCCCAAGCGAAGGGGCCCTGTGCTGGACCCCAGGATATGGAGCTAGGTGATCCTATAGGTTTCTCTGACCTGTGAGGTAGGAAAGCTACACTCAACACACTTTATTTAAGTTAGCTCATTTCTAGTTCTCATGCTTTTTGATCCATGATCTTCACAAGTGAAAGTCACTGTCTTTCACTATCTTTGGGATCTATTCCATGAGGATGCTGCTGTAAACAGCAAGTTCCTAATAATTAGGAAGTGTGTGGTCATTAGACCTAGCAGGACCACATCCTTTAGCAGTTACAGTATGATTGTCATCTGCTTTTACTGACAATTTCCATGGTTTTAAGTCTCCTTCCTTCCTGATTTTTCCAGCATGAACACAAGAACAAGATAGGTCTTCATCCTCCTTTTCAGCCGTTCTCCTTAGCAAAAGGGAGTTAACCTTTTCAACTACACTTGCCAATCAATATTCGTAATATTGACTCTTGTGGCTGGCAGAAGTCACCAATCTTTCACACTGAAGCAAATACACTAACCGTTCAGCTGTAACCATTTTCCCTGTGGCTGTTTCACCCCCACCATCTCCACACTTGGCTCTGCTCCAAGGAGTCCTCCCTCCCAGCCCGTAATATTCAGCTTCTCCCAGCGGCTGTTTAAAGCCTGTCTTTATAGAAAGAGCACTGGGCTGGGAAATCCACTGGTGGTTTCTCCTGAACACCCACCATGTTACCTGCAGAGATTTAGCAGTGCTCAGCTGCTGGTACTTCTGGCAACACTGCTGGGCTAAACAGGCTGTAACCGAGTTTTTAAAAGCTTGCTCACTTACTATGAGAATGGCTACAAAGCACGCCAGCGTAGTATTCCAGTCTCCACTAGCTGTGGCAGCTGCTTTCCCAACAAGCACACTGTAAAATATGAAGTCTCCAAGGCCCAGCTTCACACCCCCTAAGAGAAGTGGAAAAAGAAAACAAGTGTTACTTCTGCTCCTCCTGTTCTGCTTCCTCCTGAAAAAATTCTTGTTCCCTGGGAAGCAGGTGAAGGTTCCTGCTTAAAGTGTCTGCGTAGCCAAGAGATGCCACTGGAACCACAATCCCAGAACAGATACTGCAGAAGCAAGAAGTAATACAGTCAGACTCAAGATCTTTGTTGCTCAGCAAGTCACAACTCTTCAAGTTAACTGCAACTAGGCCAAACTGGGTAACAGAGTGTTAACCACAGTCAGTAAAAATGTCAGGCGCTGACTCTGACTACACTGAAAACAAGTTATGAAGCTTCCCTTACTTTCCTCCTCCTCGAGCTCCTCAAAAGAAGTGATGGGGCGGGTTGGAATAGGACTCCTCGTCTCCGACATCTGAGAGTCTGCATGAGAAGGGCTCCTGTGGTTCTCTCTCCCATCCTCAGCTTGGTTCCACAAAAATAGGCCAAGAAGAGCGGACAAAAAGAAGAAACACAAAAGGCAGCTACATTTATAACTTGTTTTAATGCATGAAATCCATACTTCTGTGAAGCTTCTCCAGAATGCCTAAGTCCTTTGTTTCTCGGAGGTGTGATCATCAGGACCAGTAAAGTAGAGACATTTAGTGGCTTTAAGGAAAACACGTGTATTATTATTTGAAACAGTCGGAAGGGTACATGTTCACAGCTTCTTTGGCAGCTACCCAGGAGTTCAATGGCTTTAACAAGTGAGTACATACGCAGAACTAAGCAATGCTCTGCACAGGCTAGAATGACAAGTAAAACCAAGTAAACTTAATATGCACTCCCACATTGTTATATCTTTGGGGTGGAGGTGCTCAGGTATTCCTTAACTGGTAGTATGACAAAAATGGATGACTAAGAGGACTGCCATTTATGAGGAAAGTTCTGCCCTGAATCACATTGATATTGGGGCTGGCTGTTCACATGTAGTAAGTGAACACATTTCATCGTTCACAGATTTAATTTTTTTTTTTGTCCTGTTAAACACATCTAACAGAGCCCTTAGTAGTGCTTTTGGAAGCAGCCAGTCTGCGATATAGTACTCTATCTGACAGTTCCTATTTTTCAGAAGCAGTCATACAAACTTTCCAGTCCACGTCAGTCTGATGGGATGCTGCCACTGCAGATGTGAGCAGACTGTGATCTGGGACACACAGAGCTTCCACAGTGGCATTCTGTATGCCTCAGCATGTAGTTTCCTCCTGCTCTGTGCCCAGTTTCAAAGCAGGATTGTGTCCCTGCAGTTTGTTAGTATGTCAGCTGCTTTATCCTGAAATAAGCAGCATGTTCAATTATCAAGCCTTAGCATACATTTATTGTTTTAACATAAAAAGGTACTGTCATCTCTAAAGTGCAACAGGACCGGATGGGAAGTCCTCCCAACACCACAAGATTTTATTCAATCACCTTCAGAACTGCAGTTTAACTTGCATTTCAAGAAGATAAAAGCAAAGGCACAAAAATTACCACAGGACCAGCTAGAATGTAAACTTGGAACACGTCAGCTACTGTTGGGTAACTGCCCAAACATTACCCAAGGGTAAATGTAAAGACATTAATTTTCTTTGGCAGGGTAAGCCATATTGCACTTAGAGCTAGGTGAAAGCATGTCTGCTCTGTGGCAGTGGCCTGAATGCAACACACTGCAATGCACTTAAGTTCAACAGCTCATTGGCATTATATTTATGAGCCTATGTTGTAATTTACCATCCCCAGCTAGTAAAAATATAAACCCCCACTAGCCCACTTTCAGCTTTGACATACACCTGAAGATGTTGTTGGACAACACTTTTGTTTGTTTTTTTTGTTTGTTTGGTTTGTCTGTTTTTTAAATAAAGGCAGCCTGAATACTGGAGCTTCCTACATCATCTGGTCATCTTTGCTGCCAGTCCAAACAGCACGTTTCAGAACAACACTGAGTTCTGCAACTGATGTAACAACACTGAAAAAAAAAGTATCCGTCAGGGTTCAGGGGCTTACATTTACTTGCAGTCTCAAACACACACATTATTTCCATGAGACAGTGCTCTGTGTAGAAGAGTGACATGTGAGCAAACCTGCATCCCACATCTGCTGACTTGGTCCTCTTGCTGCTGTGTCTGGCTTTGCCATTCCAACTGTCCACATCATAGCAGCTAAAAGAAAGACAGAAAGTAATCAGCTGCATTAAACATCAGTCACTATAGCTCAGAAGAGCTAAGTATTTAGCTGTCCCTAAAAATATAAATCCTTGCCCCTGTAAATGCTTTTAAAACACTCACTCTTAGTTGGTTTTCCTAGGCACTAAGAAGGCAAGGTGGGAGAAAATTAAGGCAGTGCATCCATTCAGTTTTTAAGAAAGTCCCAGAGCACAAATAGCTAAGAGTCAGTGTAGTCTTCTCTGTAGGCTAATGAAAGCAACAATCCAGAACTAGGGTTCTCATCTTCTTTGTTTTCTCCCTGGTTTCTGACTTGTCTCTTCAAAGAAAAGAACTGCCCAGGAAATGACAGTAGTACAAAAAGTAACCAGAGGTTAACTTACACAGCTTACTCCTCATGTTCTGCTAAAGGTAAAGCACACAATCAAGGGATATGCAGGAGTTGTCAGAGTGCCAGTTTTCTCTCTGCCTGTTTGTTTTGGTTCTTTCCTGTCAAAATATTGGCTAGTTCTGTTTTGGTTCCAAGAACAACTGAAGGATGTTTGGAGGTTTATTCTTGAGATGGATCCCTAAGTTAAAAGGGAGTACAAACCATTCTGAAATCACTGGAATGGAACTCAAATCACCTGTTTATTTAAGTGTGCATCAGTCTTCCTGTTTTTAGAGAAGCTAAATAAACAAAATAAGCCAAGGCAAACACAGTGCCTGCTTTTCCACTACAAGCTCAGCCAAGGTGATGTTTTTGCATCTAGAGAGAGCCACAGAATGTGGTCTTCCAATAGAGACACTGACGCTCTGCACAAGAACTTTTTGTTCAGTATTTATTATTTGTTGAGTTGCATTCTCCTTTAGAGAAACTCTTGTTTGTTAACTAAAACATGTGAGAGACTTCATCTAGATTGTCTTGGGTCGGTATAACAGAATCTCCAGTAAAAGGGAGGTCAGCTGAAGCCAACAGAAGCTCTGTTTGGAACATATAGAAGCATTTATATAACATTAAATGCTTGAGAAAAAAGATCAGTCAGGTTGTAGGCATCCTCAGCTTAGCACCCAACATTTGGAAATACCCATTCATCTTACAAACGATGTAATGAAAAAGTCACTGAGCTCCATGAAGAACTTGAGTCCAGGTCCCATGAGTGTTGAGTCACCTGCCTTCCAACTATCTTAATCTTAAGCACATACATACCTGTATGGATAAGGGCACTGGACACCATCATAGTTAAACAGCCCAAGAAAGCCAGGGAAGAGACAACTGATTTCGTTTGCAGAGCAATACTTGAATAGAGCACATTACAAAGTGAGCAGCCATACAATGAACCATAAAGCAAATATATTCGAAGCACTGCCATCCGTACAGTGCACAGAGCAAGGGGGGGCTGCAGGAAGAATGGAACCTCATCACACATTTAAACTGTGTCTATAAAGCGTATGCACAAGGAATAAGTGTATTGAGTGAGCATCATCTAATCACAGAACTTTGCAAACACTACTGTCCATCTAACACAGGTTTTCGTATGCAGAACAAAGGGGCATGTTCCGCACTGTATTCACGAAATGGTAAATCTACTTTTGAAACATTTCAGCTTCAGAAGGCAAATGTGCTCTCCCTTTGGGTAATTAGAGTTAGCACCATTGTAACTGATAAGCAAGGCCTTCTACAAATGTCTGTTCCAGAGCATAAATGTGCACCAGTATTAGGGCAAGGAAGTAACTAAAACAGTGCTCTCTGGTTTGACACAGAAATAGGTTGCAAGTTTAATTTGGTTAAAAACATTAACATTCTAATCTTACTCACAGGAATAAATTAATGCAGGAAAGATGGGCTCATTTCTCTCCTGTGCAGTTTCTACCAGCATTCTCAGTGGCCCCTTGGGACAGAGAACAGCCATCAGATCTGCAAAGAGAGAAGGACCAGACAATCTCATCTCAAACTATCATGTATATTTTACATTCTTTATCTTTAAAAAGCTATTCTTCCCTCAAAATTACATCTGTCGATATTAACTGCATGATTTCCTGAATGGCAGCTTCTGCCACTTTGCATAACTCTAGCTGTTCTAGTCCCTGAAGATGTTGTTCACTTAAAATACCATCACCCACACTTAATGTAATAATAAGAATTTTCATTGTGCTAATCCTATAAAAAGCCTCTTGAGAATACCACATTATTTTTTTGAAAGTAGATGACAGCATTACATCAAGGTGTTAAATTTAATTAGAGGAGGACTGGGTGTACTTTGTTCACATTCCACAATCCATAGCTACGTCCACCGACTCTTGTGTTTCGCATGAATGAAGGCCTTTGGTCCAGTTCCTCTTTGCCTACCCTCTCTACTCCGTCAGAGCTCCTCACCAATGTGAATGTTACCTCCCGGCTGCCTCTTGTTCTGCAGGTTCCCTTGAAACTTTTAACTCATACCAAAATGCATGATCTCTTGATAACCGTAAACAAAACCTGCAAGACTATCAGGTTGCTACTGATAAAAATCCAACCACCCCTACCATGCAGTCAGATGTGGTTCAGTACTTCCCTGACTTGGCGTTCCACTTCGAAAGACATGGTAGGGCTACAGTACCTACGTGAACAAGTTATCAAGAGACAAGTCAGGGAGTCAACTTAATTGCCCATCTGCCTCTTTCTAAAGCTGTTAGCACCATAAAGTTGTTTTTTGAATGACATACATGGTCCTGAGATTGCCTCAGAGTAACCTCTCCATGAGCCACACCTTGAGAGTCACAACCCAGACTTACCGTAGATGGAGATTGCACCTAGAATCACCCATGCTGACCACTCAGGTAGATATTTAATGAAAACCAGTGCCATGAGAGCACTGATCATAATGAGATATGCTTGCTGGAGCTGCAAGGGACCTTTCCAGTGTATACAAATCATTCCAACAGCCCCAAAATTCCAGATGACTAAGAACAGAGTGGGGTAATCCATGGCCACGTTGTATGTCTTCAATACTTCACTGGAATACAACAAGAAAATTTAGCTAAGCAATAAAAGCAACTGACAAGCAAAGCATCCTACTAGCTGTAGTTCAACAAGCCTCCTACTACACCAGGAGGAAGCAGGATAGAAACAGCTCTCATCATGAAGGGGGAGCCTGCCTTGCGGCCAGTTGCTGCTCTTAGCTCTCTGTTCCTCGTGCAGGAGATGGACATGCTGTGTGCGCAGACAAGCACCACAGTGCCTTAGTCCTGAGGTCAACAGTGATTCCAAGGGTTTGAGCAGGCAGGATTTCAAGTCTGAACTGAACATAGGCCTACAGCTACATGACCGCCTGCAGCAAAGAAGTCATGTAAGAGTCATCCCATCAGATGCATGATGCTCACAGTTAAAGATGAAAAGTTTTAGCAAGTGTCACCAGCAAGTTAAAAGCTTGGTTCTACCTGAGCTGGGAGCTAAGGGAATGAGCTTGACACAACGTAGTCTGAGAAAAAGGCAAGACAAATCAGAGAACCAACTCGGCACACAAAGTTCTTTTCCACTTGCTTCTCAACATATAATTCAGGGCCTCTGTTACCACAAGGTTCAGCCCGTTCATTTCATGCTCATGGTATCACCTCCCAGTGATTTTTGTAGAGTAGGCCCTGTAAAATCAGGCATTGCCTATTAAAGACCTCATTCTCTATTTTTTAAAAAAGCAAGCTATCTCACTCTAACAATTTTTAAACCTCCATTTGGAGAAGGGGAGACATTCCTTTCCTTGTTCAAGCTGGAGATTTTCTGCAAAGAGGTGAAGGAGCCCCAAACTGCCAGGTTACCTGCACCATTCCCACTTACCCGAGATATATGTAGGTAAAGAGGAAGAGCAGCATCAAAGAAGACAGGATGAGCCAGCCATGGATGAACTATCAAGGACAAGAAGAGACAGTTGATTGAAGGGGCATGTGCTATTGACAGAGCTTCCTATCGTCCAACAGTCTCCTCCTTCACTCCTCCAGTTTCCAAAGACTCTGCCTTCCCCACTGCCAGTGAGGAAGGAGGGACAGCCAGTTGCTCCCAGTTTTCCAAACTCTTACATTTTGTATTCTATCCCTTGGTGTTTGTTTTCGTTGGTTTGGTTTGGTTTTTTGAGTCTCTTTCCTATCCATTTCCATGGGTATCCATACTGGTTCCTAGCTCAGACAGGTAAGCACATTCCCTCTGCTTGGTGGGGAGGAGGAGAGGTTTGCCCAAGGCTGTACAATAAATCCATCTCAGGGCCAAGTTTAAAAAGCAGCAGTGGCCAGTGCTCAAATGCTGGGCTGGTACCACATATAACAACTCCGTGGGCACCACAAAACCTGAATGTGCCTTTCCCTCCAAGCCTTGTCCCCTTCCACCAGAGCCTCCACAGGCAGGAAGAATACCAGTTCCCATAAAGCTTGTCTGGAACTTCTTAAGAGAAGGCATTCACAGTAAATGGTACAACTTAGTCCATAAGTACAAATTACAAAACTTTTTGATCAGATGGAGAAGACTCAGACCTGACTAACACAAAGTAGCAGGCCTTGTTTTTAAGAGCCTACCATTAGTGACAAAATAACAGCAAAGCATATTCGGGGGCATAGCTTTACCACCACTGACAAAGGCTTTTGTACAACATGATTCTTGCTAAGACTAAGATGTGGACTAGCCAGTGCAGTGCCTGTATTTCTCACTGAACGCAAGCCCCACTTGAACTCAGGTTCACAGCATATAGGTGGAAAAGGCTCTGGCATGAATGCTTTACCTTGTAGCAGCGGTATTTATAGAGCAGAACTAGGAACACGGTCATTACAACGATAACACTGATCATTATGATGGTGTTCAACACTGAGTTCAAGAGACGCTGGCCCACAGACGGGGTATCCTCACTGAAAGGGGTGTAGATCCTGCAGTATAAAGCAAAAGCCATATAAAGTACATATATTCTCTTCTAACTAACTGCCCCAAGATAAAACCAGACCTCTCCATGTGTGGGAAAGAAAGGGAGGTATGACTGCCAAGGACAGCAAACATGAGATGTAGCCTCTGAAGGGGCTGGGCTCCAGTTAAGTATCAACTAAAGATTAGTGGTCTCTATCAAAATCACATTCCTACAGAGACACTGTGGCTGGCACAGCTCTAAACAAAAAGACCTAGAGTATAAATGACTTAATTTTAGTAACTTCACTCCAGGCCATGAATTTTTATTGCATGCTCTGGACCCTCTCCATGATAACTGAAATAAAGTGCTGTCCTGAAAGGTGGGGGGACCCTTTCTTTCCACACTTGGTAGGAGAGTCTTGGACCCTTTTATCCCTTCTCATCACCCCGCAGCCCCCCTCCATTTTGTTTCCTTTGGTTCAGTTCAAGGGACCAGAGTCCCCGTTTCTCCACCCGCTGTGTGAAATGCAGTTAGAGCCCCAGGAGTGTTCTCAGGCACAGTCAGCAAGAGCTGGATGGAATTACGTATCCACACCATGAGTCTTTAGGAACCAGAAATGTCATAAGGAAATGAGACACTCATCCAAATGAACATGCTATTCCCTGATTGCTGCCAGCTAGTGCGTGAACAGACTAGAAGTTCAGCCTGGGCCTTTTATGCTGCAGTATGAAGCAAATTCATTATTACGCTGCTCACAGGCTTTGCTTAAGGTGCCCTAACGACAGTGCTAACGAATCAGTATAATGCAGATATGGAAAGACTTCCACAGTTGAACGTAGCATACTAGTAAGATCTTTGTATGTTTACACAGCTACCTTTAGCTGTGTAAAGGTTCTCCCAACCTGCCAAGGAAGCACTCTGTGTACACAGATGCGTGTGCGTGGAACATATGTGTAAAGCTAGGGATCCCATATACTCAGAGGCTGTTTTGAAGGCCCCACTTACAGCTGCCCGTTTTTCTCCGTATAGAAGCGCACTGACTTTATGGTGGCGACGACAACAATCATACAAAGGGTGACAGGCACAAAGAGCATGATTACATGCTTTGCTCCATATTTCAGAGTCAGTTCCTCCTCTTCATTTTCCAAGGCACTTTCTCTCACTGGAACACCCGAGTCAGACATATCCCCATCAGCAATATTGTTAGGGCTACGGCTGCTACCTGTTCGCCTCTTCTGAAAAGAAATATTAGCAAACATATGACTTTCTTTTCTTTGTGTTCAAAGCTTCATTCCATCATATTTCAACTTGTTCCTAATAGGAAAGTACCAATTGAACAATACAATTAGAAATTCCATTAGAAACAGGCTGCAATGGAGTTTTTAAACCAAAACCATTAATATCTAAGGGCCTCTTCAAGTCCAAATATATAGATGGACACATGCACACGAAGGGCAAGGTGCACAGAACTGAGATAGAAGAAATGTCATCTGAGGTGGCATAAGCTTGATCAGTTCCTCCTCCCACAGCAATGCTGTGCTTGCTTTGCTGGCAGCAGGACTAGATTCTGTTCGAACATTTGCTGCATTTGACCAGACAAAGGATTTCTGGCAAAACAAGAAGGCTGAAAAGGATATCCTGCAAGAGTCATATGTGCATCAGGTCCTGATTAAAAGCCTGTATCTTTACCAAAAGGAAGGAAAAGGGAGGAGTATATATGGAGATAAAAAGGGGGGGAAAGTGACAGTGGAAGAAATAGGAACAGGCACTGCTGCTGCTAGCTGAGAGTGAATGACACCAGAGAAACAACACTGGCCAAAGCCAATCTTAGAAGCCTGTCTCCTGGGACAGATTGAAGGGTAGCAGGACTACATCTATCATCATACCCCATCTCTTCACTCCCCGGGAAGGGCGCAAACCTACCCGATGTGCCTGCGGTTCCCCTGCTTCTGAGGCTGGCAGGCCATCCTGGTAGGAGGGTACTGGAGGGCTCTCTGCAGACATCAGGGATGTTCTTTCATTGCAGGGCTCCTCCTCGCTGTCCGAGTTGTTCATGAATGTGATCATTATCGCTTTCCCAGGGAGCACTCAGGAGGAGCACGGCCAAGCACTATTCAAGGCTAAGGGGACAAGCAGAGCAGAAGGAATGAGAAACAGTGAACACTGCAGTGCAAACAACTGGAAGTCTGAAAAGGAGACACAATTTCAGCAGGGAGGCTACAGCACGCTATGGAACTCCATCTCCTCCTAACAGCTGATTCAGCCTGCTGTCACCCCAGGCATGACAATCCATTCAGTTAAAGTCACAGTGACTTTTGCAGTCAGGGAAAACAGCAAAATGCAGTACTGAAGCAATTTAATACTTTTCCTTTGCCACAACTTTCACAGTTGCTGCCCCTATTTTCCCCCTCCCATTAGTACACCTTGACTTTCACAAAGCGGTTTCTCAGTGCTTAGTGTGTGTTTTGCACGGGCCAAACAAAGCTTCACCTCAAATGTTGGCTGCCTGCTAGAAAGCTAAGAGAGCTCAGCTCTTACACAACCCTCCTGCAAGCATCGGCAGGTAGCAGAAGTTTCTTAGTAACCTGGAGCCTTGGCTTTACATAAGCCACTAACCAGGAGTTATATGCTGTCTTCCCTGTTATGAATGTTTATTAACCAGATGAATTTCATAAGCAGTTCTTCTCTTTGCCCATGGACAAGGAGAGGTTTGTATAGAACGGAAAAGACCTGTCTGCTTAGGTGAGCCACGTTTTTTTTTTCCCCCCTTATGTTGCCTTACGATTAAAAGCAAAACCACTTGGATGGGCAACAACTTGGAGTATGAAAGTGGGAGCTAGAAACGTTTGGCCTCTTTCCACCTAGTACTGTGCAGAAAAACAACCAAAGCAGTGGCACAGCGCAGAGAGGAAAGAACAGCTCTTCTTTCTAGACACCAGAGAGAAGAGGTGCACAGTCTTGGATGCTGCAAAACAGCTTTAAAGCCAGGATTTCAGGAAGCTCTAAAGGCAGGTGGTAGGAAAATTCCTTTTAACCTTTATTAAGTCAGCTTAACAAAGCAACTGGAGGAAATAAGGATAATTCAGTCACCTTTTGATTCTCAACCACCTGTCTGTAAGCAAACCCAGACCTCTAATGCATTGTTAAGCTGTATTATCTACAAGAACGCCTCATCTCCTCTGCAGTATTTTACCCAAGTATATTGCAAGAAAAAGTCTGTGTGTCTCAGGAAATATATCCAACTCAGAACAGGAAGCTGAAGAAGCCAAGTGACTTGGACGCAGTCACTTAAATCTGAATCATACTTTCACAGTCCAACCAGTACACTATGCTGTCTATCAGCCAGCTTGAGAGGTCAGAGTAGATACTTTGAGTATCTGTGAGATATTCTTGCTTCTCAGTCAAGAAACTGAAATCCACTTTGGAGGAAGAAAAGAGGAAGGAGTGGGAGATTCCCCTTTCTTTCACAACCTCCTCAACACATCTGGCTCCTTCAAGAAGTTTCAGAATGTCAACTCAGTCTGCCCAAGTGAAACATTTTTCAGACATCTGCTCCTCCCCTGCCTTCTCTTCAAGCCTTTTCATATAATTTTGTTCCTGTTCTAGTGATAAAAGTGGTACGGTTAGGGGAAACAAAGGGGTAGCCCTCGAGCCAGGCCTGCCAGCTTCACAGTAATACTGTGTTCTTACTGAGTGAGACACCTGCGACCTGCATTTGTCTGCTTATTTCTTACAGAGCCCGAAATCTCCACTTGGGATGCTTAACATGCTCTTCTAACTGAGTATGTGGGGGCCCATAATTTACAGTTGAGAGCCTAGATTGTGGTTCAGTTATAGGATTTAGGCCTTCTTTAAAGAAGTCGGGTACATAAAGTCATTCAATCATGACATACTTCTGGATCTGTGAACAGGTTAAGTTATGCATGCCATGGGATCTGTGACCCACAGAATTTAAATAACTCTCAAAACCTTCTGCCCATGTCAGAGACCAGGGAAGAAATAAAGATCTACTCTCTGATAGTTCGGGACCAATATTAGGTTTTAACAACCTATTGAAAATATTAAAAAACTTTTTCTCCCACTATTTAAGAAACGGCAACACAATTTTTGCTATATGAACAGAGCAATTCTGCAGAGGATTTAGGAGGGACAGCCAATTAGCCTACTTTCAACACCCTAGTTGTGCTGACGGGAGGAGTTAAACCAATAGCAAAAACACAGTACTAATTACTAACCTCCACGATTACATGGAAAAAGAATCTTATGTTGTAATACAACTGTTTTTAAGCTGGACATTTTCTTTTATTCTCCCTCAACAAAGATATGGACAAATGCAAAGATGCAACAATACTTCTGGTCAGCAGGCAGACTCAGGCCTGAACACAGCTTTACTGTCCCTTGTAAACAAGGCTTTGGTTTCAGTGAGGGCTGACACAAACAGACCCCAACACATCCGGGATTTTACAGGAGCTCCTGTGGCAACCAGACCTCAACAAATTCTCAGATGCTGTACTCACAGCTGCCTTAAACTGACCTAAATATGTGGTCCTGCCAAAGGGGTTGTCCCACCACCCTCAGTCTCTCTGGTGCCAACACCAGGTGGTCATCAGCTGTCTAGCTCTTTTGAAAAGACAATGGGCACTTGTTTTCCTTTGCTTTCACAGAGCCAGGTTGCAGCAGGACCGGCTCCCAGGCTGGCTATGCGAGCAGCCCCAGTGCCAGTGCCCATGGGAGGAAAAGGGAGCACTGGGCCGTCCCCCTTCCAATAGGGTCGAGCCTTACCTTGGCAAGCCCTCTGCTCACTCCTAGACAACCAGCCCAACCTCACCTCAGGTCTGCAATACCTATGGCAGCAAGGCTCTTAGCCAAGCAGGGTTCTTTGACTTATGGTTTGCAGAGGCAGGAACACAGGCCCTCCCCCTCTGCCCCACCACAGACCCAGCAGGGAGTTTGTCTAATGCCACTATTTATTTATCAGAGCTGCATTTTGAACTGGCACCAATGCTGTGCTGGCTGCCAGAGAGAGCTTTGGTTTAAGCAGTCTGTCCTTCAGGGGCGGCAGGACCAGCCTGGTCACTCTCACACCCACCTACCCAGCACGACAGCACCCTTTGGGCTGAGCAGAGCGAAAGAAGAGAGAGCCTCTGCCCTGAGGTTTGCTTGCCAAACAGAAAGGGAGCCACAGAGCACCAGGCAACCAAGAAAAGGGTGTTACAAAGCCACACTGTTTTTCGATATCATTTCACTGGTTAAACTAAAAGAAGGGGCCTTGCAGAGATGATTTCTGCCTCCCAAAGACACTCTGTACTCCATAATGGAAAGCACGGGAACCTTCTTTCCTACTTGTGTGCATGACACCAAATATATTGTTGCATACTGACTGTGTTTTCCTAGGTTGAGCTGAAAAGGGGCAAGAACAGTTGAGGAAAGGAAAGCATGGAGGGCTGAGACAAGCATGCTTCCTTTCTGGCTACAGCAACAGGAGGAGCTTTCGGGGTGGGGTGGGGTGGAAATGCAAGCTGTATCTATATTCACAGAAAGCTACAGAGCATGGTTTACCAAATGCAGTAAACGAAGATGATTAACAATACGTGCCAGACCATCATCAAACTGACCCAGTAGGTTGCAGGGTATCAGGCAAGGTTTTCCTCTTTTCCTCTGTGGATGGATTCAAACCATTAGGTCCCATTCAAAAATCATACGATGTTTAAGAGCCAAAAGACCAAACTCTCAAAACCATATAGCAAAAATAAAAGGGGACAAAAACTAGGTCAGTAATAAGTACTTCTTATAATGGGGCAGCTGAGGTGGGAATACAATGACTCCTGCTTTGTAGCAGTCTCATGAAGCCTGCAGGAGACACCATTTCTCTCGTTCCAGATATCCTTCGTGCAAGGGACCTCTTTCCTCAACTGCAATAAATCAGCTTTATGGATTTTGATGAAACTGGGCCAATTCACACTAACATTAGGATCTAGCCTCGGTTTGCCTTTTAATTTCATGCTGCAACATCACTGTGCTGCAAACAAACCTAAATCCTTTGCTTTGCATTTCCACCATCACAAATAATACCAGTACAATATACAGCACAGAACAGCTGCTATAGGCTGGCAGAATACTTAATAATCCACTTGAGAGTTAAAATTCCTGCTTATATGTATTGTTCTCTTCAATGGCAATTAGATGAAGAGAATTAGTTTTCCTTTGCTATATTTAGATCAAGGGAAAACTTTGGCCTGATGCTGACAGCCTGATGTTCTCCTAAGTTTCAGCTGTAGTAATCACTGCTGTTGGTAAATACAAAGAAGAGGAAAAAACTCTGAAGAAATCCTAAATGGTGGGGCCAAAATTAGGAGGAAAGATTTCCAGGTTCTTGCCAATAAATAAAGCCAGAACGCGCATGCTGCTAAAATGGCAGGGGTCTTGGAACACACCGTCTCAGTGGTCAAAAGAGAACTTGCAAATGCCGTTCACTTTCAGCCCCAGAATGCAAAAATAACACCACATGAGATACTATGGGAAGTTGTACAGATTTGTAGCCCTCTCTCTCCTTTTCAGGGCACGCCAACATAGCTGAACTAGTACTACTTTCTTTTGCCCCACAGGAAAGGCACCACATAGCCCCAGAGGGTTATTTTGCCGGCAGAGGTGAAATCAGACCCTCCCCAAGAGCGTGAGGATTATTTTGCCAGCATTAAGCCCAAATACGCTAGCAGCCAGCTTCTTGTCAGAGCATAAAGGCGCCACAGCCCCACAGCCCCACTTACACCAGTAAAACCTCGAAGCCTGGGTCAGACTTCACACGCAGGAGCAGCTACTCGCATTGGTCCTAACACTGCCAGGGGCATCTGACCCAGCAGGTGCTGGAGGTGACACACCGGGGACACCCAAGGACACCTGTGTTGGGGCTGGGTTCCCACGTCCTACCCGAGCACCCAGGGCAGCCAGCCATGGGGGCACGGAGCCCCAGGTGCCCCCGC